ATGAACACGATGCTACAAATCCATCTGATCTTGAAAATCCACATGATATTGAGCAAAATCAATTTGGTATGTATATCTATTATAAAACTGCAAATAATTTTGTTATTTTATTATTATTATGTTTCTTGTTTTGTTATTATTATTATATACACACATAGAATAATACGTTATTATTAATTTTCACATAAATGTCTTAAAATTTATTGACTTTGGATATGTCTCTTGAGTCATTATCTGCAATGTAAATATCAGCAATATCAAGATATATCAAAGTATATAAACAATATATTATAAGCTTTTTTGTCAATTTTGTAAATTTGTAAAATAGCAATAATCAAAAATTTCTGTGAGTTACACAAGACATGCTATAATTATGTAATTACCTTCAAAGTTGTTTATTGTCTATAGATATGTAATACTTGTAAAACATAGTCTCAAAAATTATAAGTTTAACATTAAAAATTATCAGCTTAAACAAGATGCTAAATAAACTTTATTTTACAATATAAATTTGTTTTATACATATTCCTATTATTTTATAAGGAATTATAACATAAAACATTAAAATGTTTGTAATATTATATACAAATATTTTTTCTGAAATCTTGATTTTTATGATACCTGTAAAATACTGGGCATTTTTATGTTATATGAAATATTTAAATATTGTATGAAATAAGAATTATAATATTTATTTAAAATATTTTTTTCTACTATAAAACTCCTAGTAAAGAAAATTACTTTTTTTTTAAAGATAACTTCTTGACTGAAATAATTATTTATTTGAAAACGCAGATTTTTTGGATAAAATAATATATTTTTTGTAAAAAATTTTTTTTTTTAATATATTATGCTATAATATTATATATTATTATATTAGTTTTATAAATTTGTTTTCTTATAGAAAACTGCAGATATCAATGGACTAATGAAACTACAAAACTTTTAATAGAAGAAGTCAAAAATCATATGGAATTATTAACTAATAAAAATTATATGCAAAAAAGAATATGGAAAAGAATAGCAAATAAGTTTAATGAAAAAGGTTATAACATAACAGGAGATAAATGTTCTGTTAAATGGAAGAATTTGAAGCAAAAATATAAAAGTATACGAGATCTCAACAAAAAATCAAACTGGTAGAAATAGAGAATCTTGGGAAATATTTTGATATAATTGATGATTTTATTAATGTAACACCCGAAGTAACACCTGCATCAATTGCCTCTAGTACACATGAATTTAGAATAAGGCAATCAAGTGCAAAGCAAATTGAAGAATTCACCAATGAAAATGACTCTGCAGTAACCAATATTTCTTATGATGTAAGATGTAATACCAGGAAACGAAAAAGTAATGAACCAGAATGGGTCAAAACACTATACAAACAAAAAGAAATTCATCACAAGAAAAACATTAAAATGCAAAAAAAATTTTTTAAATTATTTGAAAAATACGTGCAAGGGGATAACGTTCAATGAAAAAAATATTGAAGTTTAACGTCTGTATTAGAAAAGGAAATTTTTGTTTTTATTTTTTATTTTTATTTTTTTAGTTGACATTTTAGTTTCATTATTTTTTAGTTTCTAATTAATGTAGTGTATTATTATACAAATTTAAAATATTATTTAAAAATTATTAAATTCAATCTAGTTTCAAATAACATTTCTGTGATATATCTCAGTTATATGTCATTATTTTGTTTCTGTGATTAATATTATTACATAAGATTACTTTTTTTTATGAGTATAATTTTTAAATATTTTATTAAGTATTTTTATTAAAATAGTTTTAATTACTTAATTTTATTACATTTTTGTGTGGCATTTAAATTCTATATATTTATTTTCATTTAGATTCTAATTTAATAGAATAATATAAAAATGAAAAATTATTAAAGAAAGAAATCTTTTTTATTTATTTCTGAATTTAATGCATATTTTAAAGTTGTTTTTTTTGGATATGTTCTTTAACGTTACTACAATATTATAATATAATTGTATTTATTTATTGGAACATATAAAAATTTACCGATACGTATATAATATTTTTAAGTATTATAATTCGATTTAAGTATACTGATAAGTATAATAGATTTTTACCTACGGAATACAAGAATTGAGAAAGAACTCACAATGCTTTATAGTTAATTCTTCATGATAAATTTTTCAGTAAACAAATACAATAATATTTTATTATATTATTAATATTAATAAGACGTATGTGCCAATAATATAAATATTTATAATTTTAGTTCGTAAAAGTGAAAAATATAATTATAAAATAAAATGTTTATTTTTCTTAAATATTGAAGACTGATGCAATTTATGTTACGTTATTGTTTATTACGCAATATATGTAAAATCAAAGACTGATGTGTTAATTCACAATATAAAATTTTAGTTGCTATTTTATTTATTTTATAAATTATACAAAAATATGTATCTTTACATTTAATTTAATAAAAATTATGCACTTATAATATTATGTAGATTATATTTATTTTCATACAAAATTCTAAAGTTATAACATTATAAATAAAATTATAAATAAGAAATTGTTAATGTATCTGTAACACTTTTAGTCTGACTAAGTCACTATTGCAATAATTTGTGCAATTATTTCTCTTTTTTCTTCAGCTTCCATAACTGCATAATTATTATTATTTTCATTTTCCTCTTCCAATATGTCCAATGGTTCATCTTCAATATCAATACAAATATTATGCAAAATGCAACATGCGAGTATGACTAATGGTATCATTTCTGTGTTATACATATATACATATTTCAATTTTCGGAATCGTCCTTTTAATATTCCAAATGCTCTTTCAATGATAACACGAGTTTTTGATAATTTAGTATTATAATTACGTTTGTATTAGCATTTAAGT